CGACAGGTGTACATTGACTCGGTCGAGAACCGGGCCTCTTGACTGAGTATCGTGGAGCCTTACTAATAGAGTCGACTTTGCTGAAGTCGACTCGGTAATTTCAAACCGTGATGATATGAACCGTTATGAGCCAATCGCGGCAATGCCGCAGTTACTGAACCGATGCACGACAGTATGGCTATATCAAACTGCTAGATGTTTAAGCGAGAGTGTCAATCTCGAACCGAACAATTGATTGCCCGACTTTGCTAGAACTTGAATTAATTATCCCCTATTCCCTAGCTTCTCCATATTTGTTCGTTACATTTTTAGGTAGCTTTTATTTTATTTCTTAGGTGATAATTGATTCCCTCATATTTGATTAGAGTGTTTAGGATTTATTTTCTTTTTGTGTGTTATCAATACCGAAGCTAAAATCCGAACTGCCTTCCTCGTAAGATCGACCCAAAGAACGAATCTTTTGATTCAGTACTCGGTAAAAATAACAATTTGTGCTACAACAAATTTGGCGCCGTTGCCGGGGAAGGCAAGTAGGATATTTGGTTTTGGAGTGTTTCTCTTTATTTTGTATTTTTCGAGTTTTTGTTCTTCCTTTTGTGCTTCTTTGTTTTCCTTCTGTCTATTTTGTTTTTGTTTTCTTTGTTTTCTCTTTTTCGTGGTTTCGCGTGGTTTTTCTGTTTTGGTGTGCAGGTATAATGAACTTCAATCACGTGTACTCCTCCCTGCATTACCTCTCTTGGAACAATGAGCCGAGCTATTCCACCGAGTACCACACCCAATCTTATCTGTACTCTTCCGAGAAGTGCTGGCATCATTTTTTGGTTGAGCCAACTTATGAGTCCCAAAAGTTTAACGAGAAGATCGACCAGATTCTTGATTTCATAGAGTCCAAATCAGCTCGAGAAGAAGAGGCCGCCTACAATGCCAAACTCAATCTCATCCTAGATCGATTGATGGCCCAAGCAAAACGAGAGGAGAAGATGGAGCTCAGATGTGCCCGTTTGAGCGAGCAAGTGGAGAATCTAGCAAGGCGCATCGACTTTATCGAGTCCCAAGCCGATGAGCCCAAGGTTGTGGACCCCCATCCAGCACCCTTGCACTTCAATGAGCTAGGGGATGACTCTTCGGGCTACCATGCCAAGCTTGACCTTATCCTCGATTAGATGATGGCCCGAGCAAACCGAGAAGGTGAGATTGAGCTCGGATGTGCTCGACTGAGCACACAAATAGAGAGTCTCACTGCACGTCTCGACTCTATTGAGGCACAAGTCGATGAACCCCACTTCATGCTTGATATTCAAGCCCGTGTCTTGAAGCAAATGTGCGTGGACGAAGAAGAAGATGACACGCTCCCACGAGCCGAGAATGATACACCAGAGGAGGAGGGCAACTCACAAGTCTCTCCTCCCACCTCCGAGTTGGAGCATCCCTCTTCGAGGTCGTTTCACTGTGTTACAAAGTGGGGAGCATTCAGTTTGACTTGCTCCACAGATGAGCATATACTTACGAAGGATGACGATAGAGCTCGAGTGGGAAAAGCTCTACGTCTAGAATTAGGGATTGCTCGTGCCCCGAGCCCGCTTCAAGAAGAACATCGCCACCCGAATCCACTATGCCAGCCTTCTCGCCAAGCTTCCCATGCTACCACTACTGGAAAACACGAAAGCATGGCACGACCGTCACTTCTTCTTAGATCCCGGCTGAGTTCCCTACAGGTTTCGTCAAGCTAATGACGTTAAACAAGCGCTTCTTGGGAGGCAACCCAAGCGATTTTCTACTTTCTAGATATTTTTCTTTATGCTCTTTTATTTTATCTTGAATAATGGGAGTTTGGAGTTTTTTGTGTTTTTCTCGGCAGATACTATTTATGAGCTCGAGCAGGAGGAGTATCGAAGTTTTGGGCAGAGCATAGGCGAGTAGCTTGTCCGTGGATGCTCGTTCTCCCGAGGCATTTTCGGTTTGCACACCCTTTTCCCTTTTTATTTTAGTTTGTTTCTTCCTTCTCTCATTTCTTTAGAGTCCTGTGGTAGTTGCTGGTGTTGGTTTGTTATATGTAATTCCTAGATCCTATTATTTGATTCCATGTTTTGTGTTGAAGTAATGAGGTCATTGCCTCATTCTAAGTGTGTGGGAGTCTAATTAGATTTTGCATGCTTATGTGGTGGACCGGTCTAGTTTTAGGATTTTGTGTTGTTGAGCATGTGGTACTGGTGAATTATATAAATTGTTGGTGAATGTTTGATGAAATTGGGAAGTTGTGATGATGAGCGTGTGGTCATTGCCTCGGTATTTGCTTGATTGCTTTGAGTGACATTTATCTGCCTTGTGAGGTTTTGAGCCTTACTTTTTCTTCTTGTGAGATATTGGTCATATTCTTGCATGATTAGAACTTGCCTTGAGTTTGTTTGAAAATAATCAATTAGAGTTTGAAATTGCGAATATGATTGAGGCGTTTTGTTTGATTAGCTCATTTCTGCCTTGTTCCTTGTCCTGAACGTTATTTTCCCTAGTAGCCCGTTTGAGTTTTGAGCCTTTTTCTTGTCAGCCATATATGTGATATATTTTGTTGACTGATTTGGTGATGATTGGTGAAAATGGTGGTGTTGTTGAATGAGGTGAATTTGAGTCGGATTCCTATTGCTTGATCTATTAAAAAAAAAACATAAGAGCTCACAGGACGGTTCGAATAGATTCTGCTCCTCTTACTGGTCGATTCGTGTTGACAGTAATGAGCATTGGAAAACTATTGTAGAACACTTGGATGACCTCCAATATTCACACTTACAGAATGTTGTCTTTTCGATTCGTTCTTGTTTGGATAAAGTTACTCTACAAATAAAAATGATGAAAAAAAAGAAAAAATAATAATGAATAAAAGAATTGGGTCAAGTGATGTTGCAATTCGATTAGAGCAGATAGGTGTTGATTGTGGAGTTGTTTGGTCGATGGTATATGTGCTAGTTTGTTTGTTAGGATGAGTAGCGGACATTCGAGTAGTATTTCTCGAAAAAAACTTTGATTGACTTTTTGAGCTTCGCATCCATATATATATTCGTACAATTACTTTAGCCACATTACAACCCGTGAAGTCCTCATGATTCGCAAGTTTTGAACTTTGATTGTTTTCGAGTAATTTAAACGACTGGCAAGCATATGTTGAAACTTGAATATTGGTCAATTTTGAGCGTACCTACCACATATGTATGTAAGAAAACGAGTGAGGCCTATATTATAATCTATGCATTTGAGAGTTTGTCATTTCAAGACTAAGTTGATATTTGAGGCATATGATCATATGGTCATTGGAATTCGATTCGATTGAATTGGGCATTTTGAGGTTTTTCTTATTTGAAACCGTATCCATGCTCGTGTCTTGTTTTCTTTTCTTTTTGTTCGGGACGAACAAATGTTTAAGTGTGGGAGTTGTTTGTCCTATTTTTATTGCATTTTTTTCTTGTTATTTTTCTCTTCTTTTTTCCCCATATTAGGTCTTTTAGATGGTTTTTGGTTCGTTTTGTAGTTTATTGCATATTTTCTTTCATTTAGAGTGTTTCCGTGTTTTATCGTTTGTTTTCCGGCTTTCTCCTTTTTTTTTTCTTGTTTTTGGTGTGCAGGTCGGAAGTTTCGGGAGGATAGAATTTTTGGAAATATTGGTGGGGCAAGCATATTTGAATAGAATAGTTCGTTGGTGATAAGTAGGAAAAAATGAAACTCAATTCCGAGTTCGGACGAGCTCAAACGAGCCAAAATCGTAAAGTCGCGCATAGCTGCCTGCACCCAGGCGCCGCGGCCCGCCACTGCCGCGACCTAGACAGAGGACCAGATATTGCGCGCCGCGGCGCGACAGACCATTCCGTCGCGGCGCGACACCTGCGCGTCCCAACTTATTTTTCGACCTGTTTTTGCTCAGTTTTTCGATCCTTATATATGGGGACTCGTTCCCAACCCAAAAAAAAAAAAAAAGACATCTCTCAACCGGGGTGAAAACTCTCGGGCCCGAGAAAAATCACGACAACTCTCTTCCTCCTCTCTTCTCTTCTTCTTCTTCTTCTTCATTTTTCTTCTTCTTCTTTTCACCATTATTTTCCATTTTTCTTCTTCTTCTTCTTAGTTAGGGTTTAAGCTTGTATTTCAAATTCTACTTTGAAACATGGATTGATTGTAAGTACTCCTTTCTCTTATTTGATTCATGAATAATGGTTATTTGAGAGGAATGATTATGATTGTTGAATTATTTGTATCTAAATCTTATCCCTATGGAATAGGATGATTGTTCTTGTTTAACGTGTATTTGTCGAGTTTGATTTGTTCATACTTATGTGAGTAGAATTTATTAGGAATTGATGAATTTGTGCTTGATTTGTTGACATAATCGAAGAGTGACACTTCGATCTTGCTATTGGAAACAATTGTATGTTAATTAGTCGAGTTAGGGATTCATTGATTTTATGTGATTAGTTGTTTAAGCATCTTCTAATTGAATTAGCGACTTTTAGAACCGAAAGGGGAGAAGTCGTAGAACTAGGCTCGCATGAGGTAGATAATTTCGTAGCTGGATAATCTATGTGTTTTAGATTGAAATACAAGCTTGTCGATGACCCGTCCCTTATTACGAATAGTTATTGGGATTGAGATAATTGGCATGTCTTGTATGCTTGAGCTTGTTCGTGTTAAGTCCCTTGTTACGAAGAGTTATTGGGAGCAAACCGCTAGATGTTTAAGCGAGAGTGTCAATCTCGAACCGAACAATTGATTGCCCGACTTTGCTAGAACTTGAATTAATTATCCCCTGTTGAGAGAAGATGACAATATGGCATATGAATTAAAAACGTGAAAAGTAAACAACACAAGATTTACGTGGTTCGGCAATGTGCCTATGTCCACGGCGGCTGAGGGATCTTTATTATTCTCAATAGTCTCAAATACATCAATACACCATGTATTTATACTATAACCCTACAAGGTATTAATTTACTTAAATACCCCATACCGTACCGCGGGGGCTCTGCCCCCGCACCCCTGGTCCAACTAATCGACCCAGCCCAGCCTCCTTCCTTTGTCAATATATGAGTCATACCAACATCCCCGATTCCCTAGCTTCTCCATATTGTTCGTTTACATTTTTAGGTAAATTGTTGCTTTTATTTTATTTCTTAGTTGATAATTGATTCCCTCATATTTGATTAGAGTGTTTAGGATTTATTTTCTTTTTGTGTGTTATCAATGCCGAAGCTAAATATCCGAACCGCCTTCCTCGTGAGATCGACCCGAGGAACAAATCTTTCGATTCAGTACTCGGTAAAAACAATTTGTGCTACAACACCGGAACTGTGACTTTTGTTTCTTTCTCTTTTGCTCTCTTTTGTTCCACTGTTCCTTTTGTTTTGTTTTGTTTTGTTTTAAGCCTTTTTTGTATTTCTCTTACCACTGTTTCTCTTGGGTTTCATCTCTAGCCTACCCCATCTTGTTTGGGACTAAAAGGCTTTGTTGTTGTTGTTTAGATTATAATTGGTTGGAAACGACATATATATTTAATAAATCATATAATATATAATAGATAATGTTTAGAAGTACTTCTATGTTCTATGTCTAAACAGACTTGACATTTTTAATTCTAACTAAAATTTATTAAGCCACATGGCAATAAAAAAAAAATA